CCAGGTTATATGACAGGGCTTGTGGGACATCGTCTCATTCGAGATGAAAGCGAGGGGTTGGAACAGCAAAAAGAAATTAGAGCATGTGATCATACATATATGCAAAGGAACTACATCGAGATTGAAGCTAGTTAGCACACATCTAAAAATTTTGCCATCAAATGCGTGTTTACCTGCAGAATCGGCTTGTCATTCATGAGTGCTTGTAGGGTGTCCCTGATGGGAATCGATTGGGGATAGAGCTGGTAGACATTGCGATCAAAATTTGCCAGCCACTCAGCATCCGGGATGCTCGCTAACTCCTCGAATCTCAGGTGTCTGCTACTTCCATTCTTTCGGATTTTCGACTCTTCAATAGTAGGTATGGCGGTCATTAGGTCATGTTTGTTGTCCAGGTTCTCATAGCACAGATGAAGCACATATTGACCGTCTGGGCTCCACAAAATGTTCTCATTCCACTTACAGTAAGTGCCGTGCGAATTTGTCCGATTCGTCCAAACATCTCCATCACGGTATTGAAATTGACAGTATAGGCTTTGAGAAGGTAGACTACACATACCCAGGTGATGATGGACAGTGCACATTTCCACTTTGCGGCCCTCAAAGCAAGGGTGGAACACCTCATTGTTACAACTCTAGATGAACTGCTTATGTATTTATTAAGAGTCAGGTGTAGTTATGCGCTTTATATACAAGTGCGCCTTTCGGTGAGATTCTTTATGAACCCCTATAACGTATCACACCTAACTGTGGTAAAACAGTGTGCCAGCAATATGCGATGACTAAATGATTGCATCTACACTCCAGTGCTACCTGACAATGTGTTTGTAATTGCAAGTAGAGACAACTGATTTGAGGTTGCCCTTTCTATGCGCATATTAACACCTACAATTGCACCCAACATACTGTACTCATTGGCTCAGCCACCACGTATTGCAGATATCGTTGTCACTGCTTCTTTACTACCATACGACTTGCACGTCACTTCTCAGTCATAGTGGTTGAAATTCTTCTCTAGAAAAGGCCTACCACTGGAATGAATTCTTGAGGGGTAAGGCTTGGGTAACGGAAGGCAGAAGGCCGATATGTCCGAAAATACCAAGATAACCACACAGGTACCTATGTAAACGCAGGCTGATCCGCTATAACTGCCATCCATTGTCAACCTTCTTCACTTTGCCTACGATTGTATTCGGAATCGATTACTAATATCTTCACCCATCAAAGGGACGCACATTATGCGAAATAACTCATAAGTAAATTCTTTTCTATGAATAGATAGCTGCTAATGCGAAAGGTTATGGTGCTTTTTTCGAAACCGGTAATCAATCGGGCTGTGGCGATCGAATTTTTTGGAGTCCAGAGACAGATTTTCATTGAAGAAGGTGATTTGCATTAAATGGTTGAGTGCGGAAATTGTACAAACTGCAAAGATCATACCCATTTGCTAGGTGAGCAAACCTTGCGGATCAACTGTAGTGGCAGCGTCAGTGATGGCACAAGCAATGTCTACCATTTTAAAATGAAGGCCAACGCTAAAATGTGTACCGCTAACTAAAGAGAAGAACAAAACCGTAAAGGAGGAGCACTGATTGCTTTTCACTGTCAAATGAATGCATCATTACTACATGTATGCATGCATATACATATTCAAGTTTGTTTTGTGCCGGTCACTATCAGTGCTTCATTACTCCTATCATAGTTGCAATTAATCTCATCATCATCACCTTTCTTCTGATTCTTCCACTTTGGTCATTATTTGTTTGGTCAGTCGTGTCAGTCATTTAGGTGCGTCTGCCAACTTCGAGTTGGAAATTTGAGAATCGGCGAAGTGCAGAGTAGAACGGTGGAAATTCAATCGATAAACACAGCAAATTGGGCATGAAACCACCATGATAATACCTCAATTAGATTTATATGCCACTGAAAGTGCACATAATATTAAATGTATGCATACAGAAGCAAGTGTTACATTTGCCACGTAAGCTTTAGACACCACACCCAAATTTTACCACCCTGTACGCGTAAGCGTAATGTGGGGTTTGCAAAAGCTTATGCTCTTGATTAAGGAATAGCGCAATTTGGATAAGTTAACATTTGTTTGCTAGACTCAAGCAACGAACGTGTAATTGCTACCGAATAATGGAAGCGGAATTGCAGATCTTTACAGCGTTATTTCAGAATGTGCCTTATATCCATCCAATAATTGTTAACATTACTCAATATACTTTTCAACGCGCTTAGAATAAAAGCAGATTTTGGGCATTAGCTCCACTGCATCTATCACTTTTGTGACTTTTAGAGTGGTGTCAGTAAATCCAGTTGAAAAAATAGGAAACCCAACGCAAAACAGATTCACTATAGTGCATGAGGCTTGAGGTAAAGTTATTGTTACCGTGTGTTATGTAAGATTATCGTCGCTGTATCAATTCCAAAGTTATATTATAAAAACCTTTAGCTACAATAGAAAATGAAGCACACTACGAGCATAGGCAAGATTCTAGAAATTTTTTTTAAAGATGGCTAATAATATCATGAATATTCGCTACGAGACACTTTTATTACTTAAACAACAAGATGTGATACAAATGCAACATCAAATGTCATGCAAACTCGTAGAGCAGATTTATTTGATTGTAATTATCATACTTCTACAGGGGAAAGGGCTTTGGTATGCTAGCGCATTACAAAAGGGGGTGGATTTGTGTCGTTTTGACAATAAGCGTAAGAGTAGCGGTAGATGGAAAAAGTGCAGAAGTAAGAGCCAAATCCCTTACATGTAATAATTCAAATCGTTTACTGAGTCAATGCTTAACATTAGACTATTTGAATATCTCCACAAACGCAACAATATGCTATAAACTTGCTTTACTTTTTGTCAAGCACCTATCAATTATCGGCTTGGGTACACCGAATACTCGTACTATTAGTTGCGTGCCCGTATGTCTGAACAAAGAGAGGACAAATTCACACAATCCTACACCTACATTCTTGCAAGCATCAGAAACAATTGAAACGTTATAACGTGATCCATACGTGTGCGAATTGAATAATTCGTAGTGAGGATGATAATCAGTTGTTTCACTACCAGTTGGTGGCATAGTTAGGATATTTCCCGGTCCAATGAAGGAGGATGCAACATTTCAAAAAGGATATCAAGTAGATGGGAAATCAAATAAGATGAAAGATGGCCCCCTATTCAAATGTTTGGAATTTCGTCATCACTCTAGACCCGTGACACTGCGTAGGACTCGGGCACACCAAAGGCAATAAAACACCTTTACCATGAGTGCTCATCAGCTAGCACACTTACATGTACACCCGATCTCACACGCTTGTCTCACATGTTTTGGCACCAACATTTACACTTTCAAGTCAAGTAAATGACGATGTGCACATTCACTACGAACGCAAGTGAATTTTCCAAACATCAAAGTGTAAAGTTTACCTGCGGGAACTTCAACATACATTAATGCATGTATGTACATGAAGAAAACCCGTACGTGCTCATGACAATTCTGTCCACAGTACATTAATACCTGGTGAGCTATTCAACACAGGGAAATCGTCCACCTCTATCGGATTTGCAGGAAGGCAATCGAATGTGAGTGCTTTTCTACCACTAAAATGGGTAGGCAAATTCAATGAAACCGAACGCTAACGGTCTTTCTGTTTTGCACATCTTTAGTTATTTCCTACACGTTGTGCAATCCTGGTGGCTAATAGTGCTCAGCTGTTAACATTTCTTAAACGGTGATTGATGGTATCCTCAGTCCTGCATCCTAGTTCTGGTTGCTTGAACATCAGTAAGCAAGGAATTACCAATGTTGCTACAACGTAATATGGACTGGCTGAGAAATAAAGCGCTCGCCTTGCACGTGGTTCTCTAATGCATTCCTTCAATAAATACGTGGAGATATCTAATACAACAAGAATTTTGTTTGAACATATGTAAGTACGTGTTAATATATTATGCCATCTTGAACTATTTTAGTCCGCTCACCTACTTGTCCCATACAAAAGTGGAGGGGAATTTAGCCTTCTGTAAGTCCTCATTTTGTTCCCAACTTCCTCCGCAATCCATTGTGAAAATCGTTATAACACCAGTGTATCTCCCATTCACCGTTTCTTATTTGCGAATCGGCTGTTCCGATTTAGCAAAGTGTGTTCAAATGGCAAAGCTTTGCCGTCTTATACTTTACAGTCCTTTTCGTAGAAGTCCTTGTCGCTACTGCGTCAGAGTAATGCCAAATGGTTTTTTCGCATTCCCATCCCCTGCTACTTTGTAAGTCATGGGTATGTAAAATACTCAGCACCGGTTGCATTTGTGTGGCTGTTTTTAGGCCTATGTACATATTCTGCTATGTCTCTACAAAAAAAGGATACGATGACAATAGATGTTTTTAGTGTACAAAACATGACATTTAAATTCTTTGCCTCAACGTCTTTGGTACCGAATATAGTGCAAACCCCTGTTCACATTCTTCTGTCTCGTCTCAAATCCGCAGTGAATATTGGTGATTGTGCTTCCCTGTCATTTGCCCGACCACCCACTTGTGACTTCATATTATGCAATTTGGAGGTACCATGACACAAAGAACAGGCAGACCAACAGTCATATTCAACCTTACTGAAGTCTCTTTAGCCGCTGCTCTTCTCTGGTCTCAAGTCGTCTTCAGGGTTGTTTATTCGGTCTGGATGCTGGGATTGCCCTGCATGCCTTGCACCGGAGCAACCACTTTCGGACCTTTCGAATCACGAATGGATCACTCTACGAGAGAGAATGTGATTCTCACATGCGGATGAATTTGCGATCCTGACACGCTGGCTCATAGTACCTAAGATATGGGTAAATGTGGTTTCCTTCTCATTGGTGCAACCTAGGAT